AACAGGGAGATATTTTGATGATATTAATCTGTGTGAAACAGGGGGAGATTTTTTGATGAATTAAAATCTGTGTGAAAATCTTTCCTATCTCTAAATTAAACAAGGGGAGTTAAGAGAAGTCTTTGCTCATATGAGTTAGGGGGAGTTTGTTATTAATATATCCAGGGGGAGATTAAGAGACTCTGACACTTGATACAAATATGTACAAATTTGTGCTAATCTTGAGCTAGCTATATAGAGTCAAGCATTTTAATTCATTTCAGGTGTTTCCTTGATCATCATCAAAAAGGGGGAGATTGATGGAAATGTCCCTACATTCCTAAGAGATGATTTTGATGATGATTCAAGTCAACTACATTCAAGTCAACACCATTCAAGATGAATTAAGGACAAGCTGAATTTATGACATTGGTGAAAATGTGAAACATTTCCCTACATGCCCAAGATATGTTTTTTATAAAGATGATGATTCAAGCAAGCCCAAGATGATTCCTGAAGACTAGATAGAGTCTTAGAATGCTGGATATGGAGGTACAAGTTGATGAAGTAATATTATGCATAAGCCTCCAAAGCACAAGTGTGATAAAATTCATAACATGATATTTTTCTCTGTCATAATCAATTATGATGCATCCGAAATGGTTTTCTCTGTCATAATTGATTATACTGGTAATATAATCAATTATGACAATTCAAATTTGAAAAATATATTCATTTTAAAGAATAAATGTTTTTGAATGCATTCTGATTTTCTCTATGATATTATTAATGTCCAACGACCATTTTCTCGATGCTATTTTTCTATTTAATTAATTTTTTATGAAAAATAAAAAACACACAATTACAGAATTCGAAAATACAATTTACATTCAATCAGTTTTGAGAAAAGAATTCTGAGCAAGGAAACAGAGATATTTTACACCTTTTGAGAAAACTCTCTTTTCTACTGCCTTCTATGCTTTCATTGTTAATCACACTTGTTCTTGGAGATTGACATTCTACAGGCTTCTACAATTTGTTGTCTCCATTACCCAGGTGTGTCTGTTCTTATTTTTATTACCTTCATCCTTTGTGTATTGGTGGCAAAGGAGGTGTTTTCATCCTTTGATTTGTTCAAAGGAGGTTTTCATCCCTAGTGTGATTCTAGGGAGGTGTTCATCCTTAGTGGGATTCTAAGGAGGTGTTTTTCATCCTTTGATTTATTCAGAGGAGGTGTTCATCCCTAGTGGGATTCTAGGGAGGTGTTTATCCTTAGTGGGTTTCTAAGGAGGTGATTGTCTTTTTAATTAGTTTAGTTTTTACTGGTTCTTTTGCTAAGTTGATTGTAATTTGTAAACTGAATTTGAAAGATAGTGAATGGGGATTCACTCTTATGTTAAGAGTTGACTGGGAACTGGATGTAGGATTGGCTATACCCGAACCAGTATAAATATCTGTGTGCTCTTCTCTTTCCCTTATCTCTTTCTCTTTTCCTAATTATATTATCGCTTCCGCTTTATCTGTGTTCAAATAAATTATTAACTCACAAATAAATTTTTAATTTGACATTTATTTTAATTTGTGCATCTATTCACCCCCCTCTAGATGTCATTTGTCTAACATCACATGTACATGAGTGTCATCCACAACAATCTTAAAGGGTAACAAAATGGTGTTCTAATTAACAAATAATACATTATGTATATGAAGTGATACTATACTTTTTACAATATTACCTGAAAGTATGGGTAAAATCGGTCGTTGTTTAGAACATGAGGTTGGACCTCAGTCACAAATGATTGAATTAAGAATTCTTCCTCTAACATTAAAATTGATTTCAAGATATTATGAAAGTGTCTAGAAATGGTTTCTCCATATCTATGAAAAAAGAAAAAAAAAAACACTTTTATTATTCACATTATATCCAATGATGTAAAAAAGTTTAGTAACTCGTTCCTCAACAGTTGATCTAAATCCATCTTTTACCAACTTAGTTGCCTTTAATCATTGATATAACGTAATGAATGGTTGCAGTCTCATTCAAATAATTTTACGATATTGTTCTATATATACTAAGTATGACATCAACTTTCGAGGATGGTGCCCTTTCTATGGTAAAAACTTCCAGAATATTTGGAGTTGATACTAATAATACATTTAATGCACAAGTAACTATGCAAAATATTAACATTGTTGCTACTTTTGTATGCAATTTTATTTATTGTTGTAAGTATTCAATTAAATTAAAGTGGTTGCCAACAATATTATTATCGAGTCAAGATCTTCGTCAGAAAAATACATCAACAGATTGCTATTATGTGTCATGTCATAAACCATTTGAAAAATACAACCCTAATATATAAAATATTTTTATTTATTATATTTACCTTTACTAAATTCACCTAAATACCAATAATAAATTATAAATTTACAATTCACATCTCATTATAATATCTTATACATTGGAAATATTCATGTTTAAAATTTATACATAAATAATATAATTTTAGAATTTAACTACCAACACAAAATTCATAAAATATTTAATATCTTATAATTATACTTAAATTTATTTTCATTACAAATTTTATATTAAATTAATATAAATGTTATAAAATAATATTATACTATATTTTATACTAATTTTTTTAGTATATAATAAATAAGAATTTCAAACAAAAAATTTAATATATTAGAATTAAACTCAAATTTTGTTTCATTATAATATTTTAGTATTAAATTAATACTAATTTCATAAAATAATATTATACTACAATTTATACTACATTTTTTTAATATATGATAAATGACAATGTCATACAAAAATTTAATATATTATAATTAAACTTAAATTTAATTTCATATCAATATATTTTAATATTAAGTTAATACTAATTTCATAAAATAATATTTTACTACATTTTAAACAATTTTTTAAAGTATATGATAAATAAGAATTTTTTACAAAATTTAATATATTATAATTAAACTTAAATATGAACACTGAGAAGTGATTCTCACTTTATTATTGTTATTGAGAATCAATTTTCGATAGAAGAAGAATCAATTCTTACTTTATTATGTCCACCAAGGATTGATTCTTGGTAGAAGGAAAGATTTTCCTTCATCAAAAATTGGTTCTCTACGACTAGAATTGATTCTCTTTCATCGAAAACCAATTTTAACTACAATTAGAATGATTATCAACGCATGCATATTGGCTCTCGTTGGACAAACTTACCTAATCAAGGTACACCCTAATGACATCAAACAATAACACAAACTAGATGCACACACAAACCAACCACCACCCAACTTCACAAACAAATCACCCTTTCTTTGACCTAGACGAAACACAACTATCACAACATATAGTGGCATTCAAAAGCTCAGCTACCCAAAAGAAGCATTGACTGGTTTTTTAATGGCATTCAAAAGCTCGGCTACCTCCCTCCATGATCAACAAAGTAAGGAATCTTTATTGTGCATCGCCAAGAATCTCTGCAAGGAATGAATCTATGCATACATGTATCTCTGTCATGCAATTAGTGAAAACTGAAACTAATAATAGAAGTGAGGATAATTATGTAACAAGGTGATATATATTTCTTGTCTTATCTCCTCACCCTCGTGAGGAAGTTCCATCCACTCTCTTTCTTAAATCCACACTTTCAAATCCGCTCAAATCAGTTGAAATAAATATTCATCTATCTATTTAGAAGAGTTTATTACTCAAGAAAAACACAAGTTGAGAGAGAAATTAAAGAGAGAAGGGAATATGTAACAAATAAATGGAAATATGAGTGATTTTTTTTAAAAAGTAAACATATAAAAAATGAAAACTGAGATTGTTTAATTGAATAATATTAATAAGGAAATAGTATAAATAAATTTTTAGAACATTTAATTTTAAAAACTATGTTACTATTTATTCATAATTGATATTATAATAATAATAATAATAATAATAATAATAATAATAATAATAAAGTCACTATAAATCAATTATGACTATAAAGGCTTGAAGTGCAAAAGAAAAAAAATTGATAATTATTTTTTATATTATTAATTATGTTTTGTCTTGTATAGAGTTTCCATGTTTTTCTTTTTCTGAAATTTGGCATTTCAAGTTTGTATTCATTTTAAAGGAGGAAGTACGATACAATATTACTGTTTTTGCTGTTCTCAAATTATAATTGATGTTTTAGTTTATTATTGTAATAAAAGTTGGTATTGATTAGTTACATTCTTGAGTAAAACTTTGGTTACAATAGAAGAAAAGCACAATGGTTGGAGGATGAGAATCAACCCGTCTCCACCAATACACACACTTCGAGTTTAACGATGAAACTCAAATGATTTTCAATTGTGCTTTTGCTGAAACAAATTAGTTTTCCATTTAAGGATAGAATTTTGATTTTGGTTTGTTTAGATCTTTGGTGCCTTTGATTTTTCTCTATTTTGGGTTGCATATTGCACGAACTTTGCCATAATGCCTATGGCCCTCACAATGCTTCTTCAAGCTCTGAGGTGAGTTTGTTAAAGGTTGTTTTCTTGTTCCTCTAATGTTGTTATATCTTCTGGATTTTACGAGGGATTTATTTGCATTAGAGAAATACCTTCGGAGATAATGTATGAGACAGTGCTCCTCGTTAGGAAATGTGGCCCCTTTCATACTGATAATCAAGCATCCTGGCTCCTGCATAAGACCTATACTATGATCCTCTCTAATGTTCTTGAACTGCTGAAGTTGGAACATTAAACAATGCTACTTTTGCCACTATTAACGGCAAAAACTCCCTGGCCATTTAACCTTTAAACTCACCAGGTTTCAGACAGTGGTATGGTATAATCCAGACAAACTTTATTTCTTAGCATCTAATCAACATCTACAATTTCACTTTATCTCACTTCCTAAAACATTATATCACCTATAATACTTCTACTTTTTCTCCTCACTAGCGTCATTGAACATTTGAAATGATCATGGAAATCATTTTTTAAAGAACCATATCCGAGTATCATATGCTCAACAAGTATTTGCTGATCAATTTCCTAGGGCTGAAAAATCCCAGCTCAAAGGTAGCTTCACCGGAAAATAGATAGTAACCATCTGGAATTTCTAAAAGAAGATAGTAACCATAATGTAATAGCCAATAAAAGGGGGCAACATCTTTTATCAACGCTTGAATATTTCAATGCAAATTTGTAATTGGACAAACAGATAATAGCCAATCAAAAGCCCTGAAGCCTGCTGGTCACAATTTCATCATACTGTCGTCAAAAGCCTGCTGAAATGCCCTAGTCCATTTTTTCTCAGATTTAACATACGGGGGAAACTTGTCTTCAAGAAAACTTTAACATCTTATTACGATTTCTTGCATACTATCCCCTTCCAAAACATGACAGGTTCTAAGGAGTCAAACAAAACTGTAGAATCATAATTCTTAGGTTGTAATAAGCCACATTGAAAAACTAAATCTAGTTGACGATATAACAGCAGCCAATAAATTAATACACATGTTGATATAGATACTAAGTATGATAAATCATGAATCATAAAAAATGTCCACTGAGATGAAGATTGATGTCAATTTTTAAGTGCGTTCATTCTGTCCCTCAGATAGTAGAGTTTGGCCCTTCTCACTTTCTTCTTGTCAAGAACCTTTATCTCCTTTATGTTAGGTGAATACCTATCACAATTCACACAGTCCAAATCTCAGGCACTAACCACAATGCAATATGACTACAAGCACAATTAACTGAACATTAAAAAACCCCAACTCAAAAGCACACCAGCCTCCCCTCTTCCCAACCCAAAACAATAGTAGATAAATTATATGACAGACTGAAATGAAGATAAACAATAGGTCCTTAATAGTATTACAATCTCAACAATTCATCCCAAGCACATAAAAGAACACCATAAATTAAGCTCATAAAAGAGAACAGAAAATGCAATCTGAATGTACAATGAAGCAAAGTAGTTCAGTTTTTCCCTATGGATAATGCTTGGGGCCAATTACAGATTGAACCAGAATTAAAAATAAAATGCATATTCCAAAAAGAAGTCTTGTTCAGAATTCTAAATAACTCTGCATTTGAATAAGTTTTGGAATAATCATGTTTAAACCTTCTAGCTTATAAGAAAAGCAGTAAAATTGTTTTTCCTTCCTTTTAGTTTTTCTTAAAAAACTTATTTATCATAAATTCTTTTAGCCTTACTTTTGCAGAACTCTCATCAGCCAGCCTCAAAAAAAAAAAAGCAACACAAATAACAAGTTCATAATAACTATTATCATCTCAAGTAATTAATTTTTGTCACCTTTTATCTTTGTAGTCGGTGAAGCAATTTAACTACACCATCCTTAAATGCCAATAAATGTAAAAAGATTGTTTTACCAGTTCAAATAGCATGTATAAAGACAGATTTACCTAAAATATTGAAAGGTGATACTTACAGAGGGAATAGAGATTCAACCCCAACCCCAGCAACCTGCCTCCTAATTCTGAATGTAGTATTGAGTCCAGCATTTCGCCTTGCAATGACAATGCCTTTTATAATAGAAACACGCCTCTTATTCTCAGGTACTTCCTGTTATATCAGTTGTTAGTAAACAAAAGATCATATCACTAACACAAACAAAAACTAAAAAAAAAAAAAAATGAACAGAAAAATAAAAATACTTTCATACCACTTTGAGTTGCACAATATAACCAGGCTTTATGTCAGGTATCTCCCTTTGCCCTCTCACCTCCTCTACTGCTTCCTTGTCTAAAATCTAAAGGATATAAATACCAACCATTTTTACAAATGACAAAAAATGATTTTTTTTTTTTTAAATAATCCAGAGAAATCACATGCCTGCATAATGTGCCGGCCAGTTTTGTCTAATCTCTTAAATTTGATACGAGGAGGAACTTCAGGCTCTGGCCTCAAAATGTCTTGAGAAGATGAATCAACAGAAGGTGCCTCTGTAGACATACGCCTGCTAGCAAAAGGTGGTGTGATTGCCCCAGACCATTGAAACGATCTGAGTTCAGCACTTCTCAGAACTGATGCTAAACCATAACCAGATTCAAATCTTGTGAATGCCTCAATGTGAGGGAATTTCCCAATCTGCAGAAGCAATTATGACAAAAGCGAGCACCCATAAGAGCTTATATCTCAGACAATTTGTGTCAAAGTCTATATATCAAGGTCACACCTTCAAAAAAATAAACTGAAACATAGAATAAGCTTGCTTCTTGGCCTAGGATAAACTTTTCCATAAACACTTATAGGAAAATAAAATAAAACCAAAAGCTAATATTAGTTATGCATAAGTTAAAAATTAGCTTTTGAAAAAGCTAATGACAGAACTTCAACAAATTAGCTTACATAAGCAACATTTAACTTATGAAAAAATTTCCTTAATTTTTCCTTCTTATTGTATTCTCCTATATGAGTACTGTGGAGAAATTTATTCAAACGAACCCCAAAAGAACCCCCCTTTGGAGCTCCAAATACTCATGTAGTCTTCAATTCCTTTATTCCTTCCATTCAATCATGCATAACCAACAAGAAAGAAACAAGAAAACTGAGAAGATCACACCTGTGGTAAACAATTATTATCTGCAACCAAACAAATCTCCCAATCACGCTTCAAGATTATATGATATTCATTGATCTTCTTTGTAACTTTATTTGTATGTCCAAAATAAAACAATTGAGATTGAGATTTGGGACACTACAGAAGAAACCAACAGAGTTCCAAAAGTGATAATTCTTGTAAAACATTATTCATATATATCACGCTTACAGTCTCGAATCATTTATTATTTATGGGATTTAAAAATATAAATTCAGGTCAAAATCAAGCATGTAATTAAATTTAAATATATATAAATAAATTTAGGAGTATGTAGATTTATGCATCAATTCTCGTACCTTTAAGCATTTAGCACCTAGCATCTAGCAGAGACAAAAACTAAACGACCGAAAGGATTAACCTTTGTTGAGAGAACGGCATATTACTTAGTTATATGCGTAGATATAGAAAATAAATAAAATTGTAAGACAGAAATAAGCAAATGTTGTTGGACACATGAAGTACGACCATATGAGGATATATAATAGAACTCGTTTTTGACAGTTATGTTATCAATTTATCACAAGAAAACACACGGATCTTTTTTGTTACTTTATTTATCCTCGTCAAAACAACAAATCAAGCGCGAAAGAGTCTAAGGAAGTGAATGACACGAGGCGATGCTTACGTCGATCGGAGAAACGCGAGAAGAAAAGTCTGGGACAGAGAATGACCGGGAAGAGGCCGGAACTTGAAATTGCGGCGGAGATCGATGGAGGAATGGTCGGAGAAGAGATGAGGAGAGCCTTCGAGAAGCCATAACTGAGACGCAGTGAGAGAGGAGGGGTAAAGCCCCTGGTTAGGGTTTATCGCTCAGCCTTGCACGCGTGATCGCGGGTCGGTTAAAGGACCCGGTCCGACCCGAAACTGGATTATTTTAGTTTCAAAAACGTATTTTGCTCTGGAGATTAGGTTTTACCCTGATAATAGATTTCTGAAAATATGATCCCTCGTTACGGTTCAAAAATATTAAAATATGCAATTTAACCGATAATATTAACATTAAAAAAACATAAATAATTAAATTTAAAACATGATGAAAGATTTGAAAATTACAAGGATTTGCAATCAACACTAGGTTAAATTGTTTTTATATAAACAAACATTATTTTTTTATTACTTCTATTTTAATTTGAATATATTTTGAAAAAAAAAGGTGTATAACAACATCTACCTACAAATTAATATTATTTAACTAATTGTTATAGCTTTTTTATCTTGTCAAATATGTAATATGACCAATTTAAATTTTGACTAAAACTTGAAATATGATTATATAAACTAAGATATTTACAAGTCTCATTGATAATGACAACTTAGTTGTCATTAGAAAAGCTATTGGAAGGGTTTTACAGATCTATATTTTTTCTACAGACATTATTTATAATAGAACATTATGGTGTTGTATAGTTATGATTTAGTAATTTAAACTTTGTAAGGTAAATGTGTGTTTGTTTGATAAGAATGATGCTTCAAGGTTGTTGATTTGAAATAAACTGGTACTGTTTGAAATTATGGAAATGCTCACATAGTCTGAACTCTGAAAAAGTATATGTATTAGGAACTGCAGAATCACAATGGCATAATTGTATTGTAATTAACAGCTTTATACCTTTGAAGAAGTACGAGTGTTTTTCTTACAAATGAAGGAATTTATATCTGTTGTATTTATTTCGATTGCAACTCATCTTTATTCACTAAAGTCAATTCGTAGATTTTACTCTTATTCATGATCTTGCAACAGCTGTGTGAGAATGAAGATGATCTTGACATGTCCTAGCTGGTTGAAGGATACCCTTAACTAAGAAAGTTAAATGCCCAATTGTTCTAGTGTCAGGTTGTGTTCACTATAATTTCTGTAGAAAAGTGATGGTGGTGGGGTGAACTTAGAAAAGAAAATTAGAATCATTCAAGACAAGTGGAACTTAGTTGTCATTATCAATGACAACATCAACTCATGAGTATGGACAATTAAAAGATAAATAATAAGAAAAAGATTCTGCATATGCAGTAAAGAGAAGTTATCTTGGAACTTAAGCAATCATTATGTATGCCTCCTACTTCTGACCAACCTTAGGTGTCCCAAATCATCACAACTGATATCACTCCCACGCCCAACAGCACTGCAAAAAACTTGAAATAGGCTGAGTCAACCGTTGTTGGTTTGTGGGGCATGTAGCCCTTTACCAACAAATGGTTTACTGATACATAGATAAACACTCCACATGCCAGACCCATTGATATGGCAAAGATCCAATCTGCCACACGACCTTGTGTTGTGGCATCCAAAATGATTCCAATGGCCACACCAATTGGACTGGAGATGGCAAAAGCAAAAGCATAGGCTGCACATGACATAAGGGGACGGTTGGGAATCATTCTAAGAAGTGCAATTCCCATGGCTATGGCTGCAAATATCTTGTGCAGACAGATTGTCCATAAGGCCTTCCATGCATCTGCTTTTGTCTCAGCAACTCCAATTGCTAAGCCCTCAAACACGGAATGTACACAAAGGGCAACAATCAACAAGATGGTGTCTCCAAGTGAACGGGCAGAGCCAAGTGCAGGGCTTGCCAAGTTGTGATCAGTGGTAGAATCAGAATGGTTCTGGTAGCACAGAAAAAACAAGAAATTAGTACCAAATAAGAGGCAGAAAACCTAAAATGACAAGACCTTGTTCAGCACTCATTGAACTGATACAAATACATGAATATTTAACCCGGTTTTGTGACTGAGAAGTAACACCATTGTCACTTACTTTGCTCGTTTCAGCCCCTGCAATTAAAATTGAGTGTAGCTTTCTTTTAGATAGGTGAACTTAAGGATATTCAAATCCAATGTCATATTTGTCAAATTGATGTCCCATGATAACAATGACAAATTCAGAAGTGCTATTACAATACAACAGTCAATAAGCCTGTACAGTACAGCACAATACTTCGGAAATTCTAATACCAACCTTCTGACTTGCTACACAATCATGCTGAAATGAAGACAGGCGATTTTCGTTTTTTAATTTCTTTAAGCAATTCAACCATCACCATAAGCACAATTTTATACAAGGTGGATGAATAAAAATAAACATTTATTTAATAAGTATCAATGACAAGAGAAATTATATCATAAGTGCTTAATTTAGTGAGCTTATTTTATTATGTTTTACCACCAAGCGTATTAAAATGAGCTAAAAAGAGTCCAGGAGTAATTTTAAATTAGTTTGTAATCTGAATCATGCACCACCAAATTTCAATCATTTAATCCCAACAAAAAAAGAACACAGTTCAGTGGAAGAGACATTTTCAAAATCAAAATTGAATTTGATGATCAGAAGTTATTGTAATACTTCATTATTCCCAGCAACCACACCTATAAAAATCACAAATTCAACAAAATAAAACAGCTACAGTCTCATAAAATCCAAGTCTGTTGGCTGAATCATTATTCATTCCCCACCAAAAATTATAATCCAAAACCACACCTCAAAAGCAGAAGACAGAAATTAGGACAAAACTTGGATGCAAGTTCTTAGACCTTGATTTCGATCCTCTATCAAAATTGAAGTTTCACCTTAGCAATCAATGTTTGATTACAGGAATCACCAAATTGCATCTAAGTTTTGGCTTAAAAAAAGAAAAATTCAAATCTTTTTACCAAATTTGCTCCTAATCATCCTACTTTTTTTAAATATATAAAAAAAAAAGCATTGAAATGAAATGTTTTTAAAGTTTTCAAAACATTAAACATATTTACTATTCCATTCAATACTTATTTACTGGAGAAATAACACTGTTATTCCTTAAAAAAGGCATGATTCAACGAAGTCAAAAACTGATAGTAGTAGTAGCAATACTAACTGAATCACATTTTCATTTTTGGATACCAATCAATGAGTCAACACAAACACAAGGCAAAGTACGAACCTTGAACTTCGAGATCCTTTGCATCCCCATCACGCCCCACCTTCGCTAAAACCGATGAAATAACGGAATCCGCAAGCATGGTCATCAAATACCCGGCACACGCCAGCATGAACGCGAAAGGATACTCTTTGGAAGTCAAATCCCCGAAAGTCTCATTAGCGTCACTGAGAAAATGCATCATGGCAGTTCCCAGAAACACTCCTCCGGCAAACTGGGTCCCCAAAACCAAGAATCCCTCGTTCCATTTCAGCACGTACGGGGACACGCCCGACACAAACGTCGCGAAGAAGATCACAATCAGGCACGCCACCTTCGCCAGGATCAAGGACCTCGCGCGGAGGTTGACGGAGTCGGCGGCGGAGTCTGTGTCGGTGTCAGCGTCGTCGTCGTGGCCGCTGTGGGCGGAAAGGAAGGAGAAGAGAAGGGAGAGTGTGAAGAGGAAGAGGAGTGTGCGATAAGGAGACATTGTTGGGATGTGAGAAGTGAAAAGGAAGAAGAAGAAGAAGAAGAGTGAGGTTGGCTTGTAGAAAATGAATGTGTTAATATGACTATGTGAGTGAGTCAATATGGTCTCCGGTTCGGGGTTGGAGGCGACTATGTTAATGTTTAGTGATAAGGTTGGGAAGGTTGTTTGTACTACACAGAGGTGATGATGGTAACAGAATTTGTACTAGGTTGCACCAATGGATAGAGACAATCATGTTTTGCTTCAATCTCAATTCAATTGAATTCTTTTTCTTTCAGATATAATTTTTTTATTTACCACACAATTTATTACTTTTTAGTTATCAAATATACCAACTTATTAAAACTATTTATTATAAAAAATGGTTAACAACAATCGAGTTGACTCTTTTTTTGTATTTTTGTTTCATTTTTAATAGTAAGAAATGGTTTCATGCCAACTCATTATCTTGTTCGATTCGTTTTAGAATATTTTTAAAAAGTATTTATTTTTATTTTGAAATATTTTTGGTTTAATTAACTTTTTAAAGTGCCTTTTAATTTTTTTTATGAATTTTACTTTAGTAAATGTAGATATGTTAATATCTATAATCAATTTAGCTATTTAATTTTTATAACAATATTTTTCATAAATATTGTTAATAATGGTTACTATTAATTTAAAATAATGTTAATTTTAAACTACTAACGTAAAATTATAATTAGTTTAAATATTTTATGTTAATGATGAGATTCGTTTTAAAACTGTTTTATTTTTATCAAGAGAGAAAAATAAAATGTCAAAATTTACAATGTAATAAAGAAAAAACATTTATAAAGAAAAAGAAAATGTTTTAACATAAAATGAAGGGAGAAAAAACATTATAACAATAAATTATAATGTTGGTTAACATAAAATTTTAAAATGTTGATTTTTTTACTTAATCATTTAACATGTTTATGTCTCCTAATAATGTAAAATAATTTTGACCTATCATCCAATTATAAATAATTATATATGGTAAATTTATCGACTTCTATAATGTAACGACCCTAGAAATCGCTACTTATAATGATGTCTTCGCAAAGTAGTAAACAAGTAAATAACAACATCTATTTTACATTATATTACTGTAATTGTAACATATATTGAAATTCGAGTTCACTAACGAACTTCAAAATATAGTAACATAATTTATTTATATATTATACATGTAAAAGTAGCTCCTCGAAGCTTATCCCATCGAACTATCCCTGTTATCCAGTAGTCACATCACCATCTCTCAACTCCTGATTTGCTCCCACATAAAAGTGATCATCGCAGTCCTATCCACATGGAAAAATAGGAGTAAGTATTAAATCATTCGATATAATAAAACAGATATAGAAGTAATAATTATATATTATGATCAATTACGAAATTATCAACACACTAAGACATCTTCTGGAAGTATACCCTAATTATGCCCGAACTCAGAGACTATCATCTGTGGACACATTGTGATCGGTACCCGCAGTACCATTCTGACCACCCTCCACACAGAGTAGGATTACTGGCGCCCTGCATCACTCATACCTGGAGTACCCTCCGAGCGCGCCACCGGTAATCCTCCCATCGACTTCTCACCACCTGATCTCGTAGTCTACCCGACCCGACCAATCGGTGAAGTCCGGGACCTCATTCAGAATCCTCCGACATAGTTATTACACTAATGTACTCTGTACCACCCCGGTACCATTCAAACATACAAAATTTATTTACATTTGCCGGATTCTGGACCACCTGTCCTCACGGCTCATTCGAGTCAATAAAAATAGTATTTGATCGATTCGGCACCAACCCTCCGGCTCGGTCTAGCCAATATATAACGTCTCGGGGCTGATTCCGGGCATCAACCCTCAGGCTCAGTCTGACCCACACACGTCACAACACACTACTTTCATTCTCTCTCTCTCTTTTTATATATATATTTTTCTAAAATAATTTTCGAAACTATTTTCGAAATCATTTTCAAAATCATTAAATTACTATTTTGCCCTTAATCTTTTCTTAAAATTCCATGTATGTCCCTAACTGACTATTTTACCCTTGGACATTCTTGAAAATTTCAATACTTCATATCTCTACTCCTATTCCTTATTCACAGAGTACCCAACAATTCAATTTCATATATTGAATGAATTAAACTTCCCCTTACTTGGTATGGTATTTCTACCGAAGCTTTCCCACTTAATTCAAGTTCTCTCCGTTTCACTGGATCCCGCACGAGTAGAGTCTCGTTGCTTGAAATTTAGACAATAGAAGAAGAAGGATGAGAGGGAAATTTTTGATTTCCCTCCTCCCCCGCTTCAGTATTCATATATAAGAAAATTTTTACTATGCATGAGGAAAACTTCGTTACGAAGTTTTCTTGCACAGTAATATTAATATAATATTAAAATAAGGCATACGTCACAATCTCCCCTCAAAAAAAATTTTTGTCCTCGAAAATAAACTTACTTGGAAATAGATATGGATAAGACTCTCGCATCTGATCCTCCATCTCCCAAGTGAAGTCTCCGGATTTCTGATCCCATACTACCTTTACCATTGAGATAGTTCTACCTCTAAGTTGCTTCAGCTGAGAATCCTCTATCCTTACTGGTCTCACATCAACGGAGAGATCGTCTCTAATCTGCACATTATCTGACTCCAGGACATGACTGGGGTCATGTACATATTTCCTCAACTGAGATACATGAAATACATTGTGCAGATTCGCCAAATGAGGTGGCAATGCTAATTGATATGCCACTGGACCTACCTTCTTCAAAATCTTGATACATCTTAGTCATACCAGGGTGTAGACTTAGACGACTCCGATGACCTTCATCTAGTATTGCTCTCTTCAATTCCTGGTCAACAGGAATACAAATCCTTCCTCTAAATCTCATAATATTATCCTCACCCATCTTATAGTCAATGGTCTGCTCGAATCCTAACTGATTTATAACACTTTTCAATGTCATATCACCTTGTTGTCTATCTCTGATCATCTCGAGAAAATCATTAGTAATGGTAATGCTACCACAACTAATACTAGTATCACGAAACTCTATATCTAGATGAAGATCCCTGAACTTCTCAAGTAATCTCAATTCATCCATCATCATTGCTGACATCTGAACTGCCTTCCTATTCAAGGCGTCAGCCACGACATTCGCCTTTCCTGGATGATAAAGTAACTGAAAGTCATAATCCTTCAGAAACTCCATCCATCTTCTCTGTCTCATATTTAGCTCTTTCTGATCGAATAAATACTTCAGGCTCTTGTGATCACTAAAAACTTCAAATCTGACTCCATAAAGATAATGTCTCCACATCTTGAGAGCAAACACCACTGCTCGCTAGTTCTAAGTCATGAATGGGATAATTCCTCTCATGAATTCTAAGTTGTCTCGACGCATATGCCACCACCCTTTTATCTTGCATCAAGACACAACCTAACCCCTGAATAGAAGCATCACAATATACCTGAAAAGATTGAGTCACATCTGGGATCACCAACACTGGGGAACTAGACAATCTTCTTTTCAACTCCTGGAAACTCTCCTCACATCTATCTGTCCAAGCAAAAGGTTGATCCTTACGGGTCAACTGTGTCAAAGGAGTTGCTATCTTAGAGAAACCCTATATAAATTTCCGGTAATATCCTGCAAGTCCCACAAAGCTACGCACTTCCGTCACTGTCTTAGGGGGTTCCCATTTTAACACTGCATCTACCTTGGTAGGATCTACAGATATCCCTTCTACCGATATTACATGTCCCAAAAACTGCACTTATTCTAACCAAAACTCACATTTTGAAAGTTTGTCATACAATTGTTTCTCTCTTAACACAGCCAACACCGCCCTCAGATGTTCCTGGTGTTCTTCCCGAGTTCTAGAATAAATAAGAATGTCGTCTATAAAAACAACAACAAACTTATCTAAATAAGGACGGAAAATCATGTTCATATAGTCCATAAATACGGCAGGTGCATTTGTTACTCCAAACGGCATGACCACATATTCATAATGGCCATATCTCGACCTGAACGCCGTCTTCTATACATCCTCTTCTTTAACCAGTATCTGATGGTATCCAGATCTCAAATCAATCTTAGAAAAGATTGATGCTCCCTGTAACTGGTCTAATAAATCATCAATCCTCGGCAACGGGTACTTGTTCTTGATATTCACCTTGTTTAGTTGCCGGTAATCAATACAAAACCTGGAGCTCCCATCTTTCTTCTTTACTAGCAATACAGGAGCGCCCCAAGGAGATACACTTGGGCGAATGAACTTCTTTTCCAGCAAATCTTCTACCTGGTTCTTCAATTCAGCCAATTCTGCTGGAGTCATACGGTATGATGCCATAGAGATTGGGCCTGAACCAGGAATTAGATTAATCCCAAATTCGACCTCTCTCTGAGGTGGTAGCCTTGGTATCTCATCTGGAAACACATCAGGAAATTCTCTCACAACTGGTACCTCTTCCAGGATATTTTCCTTCATTTCATCCATCTTAGTTAGAATCAAATAACACTGAGCTCCTTCTCGTAGCTCTTTCTGAACCTGCCGAGCTGATGTAATAAGTTCATCTCCTAATTTCGGATGTACCAATCTCTTCTGTCCACAGTCAATCAGAATGCGATTGGTAGATAACCAATCCATACCTAAGATTACATCCATATCCTTCAAAGGTAAACCGATTAAGTTCACCTTGTACTGTCGTCCTTCTACGACAATTGGGCACCTTAAACACACATAGGAAGACACCACCAGTCCAGCTGCTGGTGTAGATACCCTCAATTCATAGGGTAGGTCACACACAGGTAACTTAAGTTTATCCATACAATTATCAGCAATAAAAGAATGGGTAGCTCCTGAATCAAACAAAACTCGTAGAGGTATATCAGAGATAAAACACACACCTTGCACTAAATTCTCTGACCTCGATGCCTCTGCTCCTGACAAGGCAAACACCCGTCCTGCAGCTC